TGGTGTTTTTCTTTCCCGTCATCCTTCTCACGAGTCTTTCAGAAAACCTTGAAAATTGTTATTATGTATAGTAATCTCCTCCACCGTCTAATTGTAGCCCATGCTATGTGTATATGATTTAATTCCTCATGCTTCTGCAAACTATCCTCATTTCTGATTGACAGACGTTTCCATCACACTTTTATTGTAATGAAATACCAATGAATCACAATCGAATCCACACATTTGTTTATTTCAGTGGAAGCTTATATCGGATAATTCATCGCCCTCATTGTCAAATTGATGAAAGGAGACGAATAAAAATGGCTCTTGATGTGGTATGTTGTTTACCTTTGATGCACTCCTCAGGACATTAGTAACTTGTTTGTTATTAGTATCTGACCTGGAGTTTACACTTTCAGGCTAAAGGCATGAACTGCTTGCACACAAGCATACCGACAATTGTTCACCGTGATTTAAAATCACCCAATCTTTTGGTGGATAACAACTGGAATGTCAAGGTATACACTGTTAGATTTTCGATCACATGATTATGAGTATAGCACACACTGTGTTGTTTTCCGCATAAATTCATTTCAACACCATGTAATTTGGCTTTTTCATTGCTATCATTTATTAGAAGAAATGCATATCAACTTTTAACATACTGATATGCGAAGTTATTAAATCAACATGTTCATAGATTTTCCAATCATGAGTTATTACAGTTGGAAGTTTTTTATGATACTATGTTCAGGTGGGTGATTTTGGATTGTCTCGATTGAAACACAATACTTTTTTGTCTTCCAAGTCAACAGCTGGAACAGTGAGTATTTGACATAGTTTTTGAAAAATACTTGTGCACTTCAGGTTCCAATTTAAATCTAGGAGTTTAATTGTGACATTTTTCTGTTTATTCTTTCAACTCAAATACTTTTGGATGTTTTGTTGGGTATAAAGCCGGAGTGGATGGCCCCAGAAGTACTCCGAAATGAGCCTTCAAATGAAAAGTAAGTAAAATAGCATCATGCTATTGCTGTCGGAATCACCAAATCAGATTCTTGTTCTTGCATTTCCATTCTTTATATTTTTGTTTTCAAAATTCCAACTCGAGTTTGAAGTTTCATCCAAGCAGTAAGCATATGAGAGATTCCGTAAATAATGTTGATCCTCCAGTAAACTAAATAGAAGTTGCGATTTAAAAGATGCCGAAGAACTTGAGAAAAGCATTCATATATAGTTTATCTCCATCATTTCCTATTGTCCCTTTTTTAGTTTGATGAATGAATAGATTTACAAGTTAATGTTGTGAACTCGACAGGTGTGATGTATATAGCTTTGGCGTTATTCTATGGGAACTTGCAACTCTCAAGTTGCCCTGGAGCGGGATGAATCCGATGCAAGTTGTTGGTGCTGTAGGTTTCCAACATCGACGACTCGACATCCCAAAGGAAGTCGACCCCTTGGTAGCTAGGATAATATGGGAATGCTGGCAAATGTAAGGTCCTACTCCTATATATATGTACGAGACACTCCACATGATACAAATCCTCTATAAATATTCTAAAATAAAATATTTTTATTAAAAAAATTTACAAAAAAAAGTGGAAGACACTAAAAACAATAAAAAGCTGCATGTTTTGCTCCGTTAGGCGTAACAATTATCGTCAAGCGGTTTTGATATAATATACCAATTGAAACTTTGCCCTCAGGGACCCGAATTTGCGCCCATCGTTTGCGCAGCTTTGTGTGGCGCTCAAGCCTTTGCAGCACCTTGTCGTTCCTTCACATGCAGAGCAACCGACTGCGCCATTGCCTCAGGAGATTGGAATTAAACCGATGCCTTAAAAGACGAGTCTCCATTCCTCAAATGTAAATGTGGTTCTACAGTAGCTTGCTGATTGCGATTTGTTCCATGCGATATATTTCTCTAGAGAGAAATGGTGAAATAAAATAAACAAGGAATTCTATTGTAAAGTATGTTCTGCCACCTTTCTAAGCATGTCTTGGGTCTGTTTTGTTGTATGGTCCCGGGTCGGTATACAAAGTATATGTTGCAGTATCCTATGCATACTTGCCATGCTAAGCCTTTTATTCATGTATTCTAAAATTTGGAGGATTTTTTTATTTTTTTTTCCACGACAAAGAAGAAACTATATTTCACTCGGAAAAAATTACAACCGAAAGTCCAACTGGACTAAGACCCAAGCCATCATCTTCAAACAGAAGGAAAAGCTTAGCAGGGGGAGAATCTAAAAACCACACAAAGTAAGTTGATAGCTCCATTCTCTTCCTCAGACAGTCTGAAACATCACTGCAGCATAATTCCTCCATCCACCAATCTTTACAAGAGTAACCTTTTACTGAAATGTCTTTCCTCTCTATCCCTGCCAAAGTCCAGATTGTTTTGGCTCTGATACATCTAAAGAACAAATGATCTTGATCGTTTTCCTCCCCACATATGCTGCAAATTACATCTCTCTTCTCTCCTTTCTTCTCTAGTTGAGTCAGAGTCCCTAGGAATCCATTCCAACATATCCACAGGAAGTTCTTGAGTTTGTTCTTGACATCTAACTCCCATGTTATCTTCCACATTATCCCTGAGTTTTTCTTGGAGGATTGCTCATCTTATTTTGAGAGAACAACTGTGTTTTACTCGATCTTGAAAATGGTTATCTTCCACATCTAAAATTGCGAGAACAATTGCTTATCTTCCACTAGTGTTGTTAAATAAAAGGAGTCTGGCTTGGCTCTGCTCAAGCTCGACTCGTTAAGGCTCGAATTCGGCTCGAGTTCGTGGCCTTAACGAGCCGAGCTCGAGCTCATTAAAAGCTCGTTTGGCTAACGAGCTGAGCTCGACTCGACTCGATAAGACTCGAAAAATAGAATTTTTATATAATACTTTATAGTTCGGCTCGTTAAGGCTTGAGCTTGAGGCCTAAACGAGCCGAGGTCGAGCTCGATTTCAAGCTCGTTTATTTAACGACCCGAACTCGGCTCGACTCGTTAAAGGCTCAAGCTCGCGCTCGGCTCGGCTCGTTTACAGCCCTATCTTCCACATCTTAAATTTGGAGAATTGCTCATCTTATTTTGGGAGAACAATTGTGTTTTACTCGATCTGAAAACGGTTATTTCTATAAAAAAAAATTAATTGTTTTAAATTCGTTTCAACTCATTTTGAGTAGAGATGTTAAACGGACTAGTCCTAGCGGTTTCGAGCTAGCCCTAGCAGGCTTCGGGCTAAACGGTTCGGATCTAGAAAGCTCGGATTTAAATGGGCTACAAATAAAAGGACCTAACCCTAAACCTAGCGGGCTTCGAGCTAAACGGGTTATACAGGCTATAATAATAATAATAATAATAAAATAATAAAAAAAAATTACAACACCTAATTAACAATTCTTTTGAACGGATATTTAGTATTTACCACTATACATATACAACTATACTTCATATATAAACACACATTACAAACTCTTAAATAACATATTGTTTCTCAATAGAAAAAAAAATGTTCGAACTATTACTTATGACTACCATTTGACTAGTTATTTGGTACTCTTTGGGAAATTTTACAGTATAGCATACTGCTGAATTTATATTCTATCACTATATTTTATGTGTTAAGTTTTTGTCTCATTTGTTTTTTGTTAGCATTAACTTAAATATTTTGTTATGAAATAAAATAAAATCTGTTAATAATTATCTATTAAAATAATAATAATACTAATACATTATAACTCATAATTATATGTGAAGTAAAATAGTAAAATTATAATATACAAGGAATCATGAGACATATTTCCTGACCTTTCTAAAAACATATACACCACCCAACTCAAGTTAAACGGGCTAGCCCTAGCGGGCTTCGGGCTAAACGGTTGGGGCCTAAAAAATCCGAATTTAAACGGGCTGCCAATAAAAAGCCCTAAACCTGTTTTTTCTCGGGCTAAACGGGCAGGCCCGTCAGGCTAAAGACCAATTAACATCTCTAGTTTTGAGCTTGTTCATCGTCTTCTTAACGTAATGAGAACTTAAGAGTCGAGTTCAGATCAACTAAAACAGGCTCGACCCTGAATTTAAATATCAAAAACTCAAAATCAAACTCGGCTTGTTTAAACTTTTACCCACAGTTAGCGCTAAAAATACCGTGAAGAAAAAAAAAAAAAGTTTTAAGTCCCGCTCATTCATAACTCCCCTATATAATACCATTTTCGCACCATTTTTCGCTCTCTGCAATTTTCAGCTTACTGTGCGTAGTTCATTATCCCTTTTTTCCATTGCATTTGCAAGCTCTACTGTCCGTACATTATCCGTTTTTCCATTGCATTTGCAGGACTTGCGAGGCATACTAGCAGGGCTTGACTCTTCAGAATCGCGATCGTTTGCATTTGCAGAACCTCAAGCTGTGACTAATGTAAGTTACATTCGAATTTCGATTTTGAGCTTCTCTCTCTGCATTTTCGCTAATGTATGTTACATGTTGATAGATTTTACTTGAGTTTTTGTTCTTATGTATGTTACTTGGATATTTTACATCGAATTTACTTGAGTTTTTGTTCTTATGTAAAGTCACTGAAGATTATTTGATTCCGTAGTTGATTGATCTAATTTCGACTGGTTTCTTAAATTATCTGCGTTCATCATCGTTCGATTTTCATTCTCTCGTATCGTTCGACTGGTTTATTTCGCGATTAAGCTGAACTTAATCACTTAGCTGATTGATCTAATTTTGACTGGTTTATTAAATTATCTGCTTCATTATCGTTCAATTTTCATTCTCTGGTATCGTTCGACTGGTTTATTTCGGATTAAGCTGAACTTTAATCACTGTTATGTTAGTAGATGATTTGCGATTGATAGGATAATCTTCGGATGTTCTAATTCGAATTTGCGTTTTTGCTATAATTATTAAAGTTGCTATTATTATTATTATTATTATTATTATTATTATTATTATTATTATTATTAAAGTGTTTTTGCTATTATTATTATTATTATTATTATTATTATTATTATTATTATGTAGGGCGCTCGTCATATCTACTGATGAGGAGGCAGCTGGCGCTGTACAGGGCCCGAATCTTACTTCTCTCCAGATAGCCGCTCGTCTGGTGCAGCTGTATCAAGCCCCCAACATATTTGTGGAGGGGATTGATGAAGACGGCAATACCGTGAGGTCTGCTTGAATGATTTGCTTTGGCAGTGTGATTGGTACTTGGATTTTCTTTTCTTGTTATGATCTATTTTACTATATTATTTTCATAAAATATATACTCATAAAAATATGCAATAATACAATATTATTAGAAATCATAAAATATATACTCATAAAAATATGCAATAATACAATATTATTAGAATTTTTTATATAGATTATTGGTATACTAGATTTTTTTATATAGATTATTGATAATTTTTTTTATAGTGTGTATCAATTTATAAACTAAGATATATAATATTAATGCGTAGGATTCAAATTATCAATATTATCTATATACAATTTTTATATTTCTAGACATGGTTTTAAATATTCTAGACATGATTTTAGAATTTATATAAGATTATAAAAAATTATATAAGATTAAATATACATATATATTAAAATATCCTAAAAATGTGTCGCACCCTTGAACAATTGTATTACAAGGGTGTTGTACTAATAAATTAAATAGCTCATGATTTTATAAGACTTTTTATAAAATCTCAAAAAAATACCTCATCCTTTTAAAAGTATTAATTAAAAAATTTACAATATCCAGGATTTCTGAAGCCTTGAAAATATTTATAATTCCCAAACCAAAACCAATACAACACTGAAAAGGAGAAAAAAAAAGGTTTATAAATACCAAACCAATACACTTTCAACAGGATTAAAAAATCCTAAGAGCATCTCCAATGTTCAACTTTCAACATTAATTAAATTTGAACACATGTCAAATGATGAATGGAATATAAATTCATGTAATATGAATGTCAAAAAGAAGACTTTAATTTGGAATGCACATCTCCAATGCATTCCTTTCAAAAGCAGAAAGCCGAACTGATTGCGTACACTGTATATATATCTAAACTTACGACACATACAACAAACATACACGACAAGTTACATATAAACCACAACTCGAAATCAAAGTTTGAATTAACCACTTGATCCTAGGAATGAGTGCTTTCGCATGATATATGTTTCATGAATTTTCGGTAACTCGAAGGCCGGGTACGTGGTCGTCGGCCCGAGACAGTTCAAGTGACCCTGTATTGTGTTATTATCAAATTAATGATATAAACCACTACAACATAAATGGTTTTGTTATATATTCATTACAATTAAAGATTAAATTGGTCAGAAAATAAAAAGATTTAGAGATTATTTGGATACATCTACTTCATCGTGAGTGTTGTCTATTTCTTTATGTATTTCATCTATTCGGTGAACATTAAAGGCATAAATGTTCTTCTACAATTTATTATAATTATCCAAAACATAAACTATATTCACAAACTTATGGTGCCTTGGATCTATATATAACAAATCACCAACTTTTGTTTGATATTTAGAGCGTATATTAATGAACTCAAACAAAGAAAGCTCAAATTTCAATAAATCCTATATTCAACGCTCAAAACCCACAAATTCTGATTTTGTAATCACATAATTCTTGATATGTCACAATCCATCAATTTCGGACATCGGGTAAACACATATCTATTAATATATAAAGAGGGAATGATAGTTGTTTGAAAAAATCAAGTAGAAAATCAACAAAGAAAAAGATTTCAATTCCCGCCTAAATAAATACTATAATCAAGATTTTTTTGGCAAAAAAAAAAAATTTGCCCGCCTTCAACCAATTCAAACGTTTTTGATATTTTAGTTATTGATTTCAAGCCTTATCTATTTATCCAATCTGATTTTTACAAGATTTGGTTAGATTTTTTTGTCAAATATTTGTATTTGTCTTAATTAAATCATTCCAAAATCAATCCTAACTAAAATCACGTGTGTTATAGAATCCTATCTATATAAATACATTTGTTTATCATCTGCTCCAAAGATTCATGATTAAAATTCATACACAGAGAGAGAGAGAAAAAAAATGGTCAAATCCCAAGTCGTTCGAGTTCGAATTCCAGTCGGTGTCGGGTGGGTCGGGTGAAGCGGGTTTTGTCTCCGGCAATCTGGGTTTAGTCTCCGGCGGGTCGTAACAGTTGTCTCTCACGCGTGGGGTCGGTTGGTCTTCGCCGGAGCACGACGGGGCGTGGAAGGAGAAACTTCGGAAATGTCGGGCCGCGGGCCTAAGTGGGTTTTGATGGTCTCGGGTTCGCCGAGCGGTTTTGTCGTTGATCAACAGGGACCAAGTCTTGGCCTCGACCATCCCCATCTCGAATTCTTCTTTCGGCGTTTTTTTCCTCTCGCTGCCGCCGCCGGTGTCGGATTGTCCGTCTCCGGCGGGGATTTGGATCGGCGGAGGATGGTCGTAGCGGGGTTTATTGTATGGATCTCGGGGATCGAGATTGCGGGAGCCCAGAGTGGATGACGTCAGCGCAACGACGTGGTGGTGGTGGTGGTTCACCTGGACGGAGTAGCTCCGCCGCACCGGAGGATAAGGGCCTGGCAGTTATTGCAGACTTTTGGCTTCGACGTCGCACAACCCATTATCGGAGGACGCCAATAATCCGACGAACAAATTAGGGCATTAAAATCCGAAAAGCCTCCCATCAAAAAACCCAATAAGAGAAAACAGAGGAATGTATCAAGAATCAATCTTGAAGCTTATATGAAGATTAAAATTCTAACATGGATTGAATAATTTGTCGACGATTCCCAGAATTTTAGAGTTTTTTTTTTAGATAAATGTCGATAAAATCGAAGGGGAATGAAGAGAACTATGATTTTTTGTGCCTTTTTGTGCATCTGCTACTCAGATACAGAACAGATTTTACTAATAAAATTCAATCTTTCTGCAAAATACCTACAAATTGGGGTAACATATTACAACTAATGAGGTAACAAATATTTTAAAATATTAAAACTATATTTCCAGAATATTAAAACTATATTCGATCCCCTCCATCCGGCCATCGCCTCCCCCCAAAAAGTCCACCAGATTCACATTTGCCGAGGTTTGTGAAGAACGAAACCCTAAATACCTTCAAACCAAACGGATTGCTCGATCGAATCAAAAATGGAAACGGAAAAAAACAGAGAATCAGTTGATGGTTGAATTGAAAAACGGGGGTGAGATTTGGGTTCGATTTCCTCTCCACTTGCTTTTATGACCCGAGTTTTTTATTATACGTCGTATTTTAATGCACGTGAAAAAATGGAAAAATGGGATCCACGCCCACGGGTTTATCAACGCGTGGAGTGTCTGTGCGAATTTAGCTGTGAGGAGTGTGGGCACGGTGGGAGAAGGAGCGTGGGAACGTGGGGAAGGGAGGTGGCTTCGCCGAGGCCGCAACGGCGTCGTTTAATATATTTTCGAACTCGACGTTTGATTATCAGGCAGTTGAGAAATGTGAAATTCAACAGTTCTAGTTTTGATANCTGCATCAGCGTTAATTTACAATTATTTTTATTTTTTAATTACATATGTTAATTTTTATTTTAGCATTATTATGGCCTTTATTTTGGAGTACTTATTTTATTATTACATTTTGTGAAATTATTGTTAAGGTTTGTTCGAGATACATTGAGACCCTGTAGGAACTGTATCTTACATGGAGTATTTGTCGAAAAAAAAAAATCGTTAAAAATCATCTAAGATGAAAATTAGCGAAGTGGATGAATTTTAATTCGGTGCTCGGTAGTCAATGCATTGTGAAAACAAGATAAATTATCATTAGTATTTTCAAAAGTACGAGTTTCTATTTATTCAATCTTGCTAATTCGAAACTAAACAAGGCCTTTATTGGCCAAGTGATGAAAAAGAGGACAAGTGTGAAGTTTGTGTAGGTCGGAAAGAGCTCTTAGTTGCTTATGTTGTTTTACAATAAATGAAAGTTTGTAGGAGTATTTTTTTTTTTTTACTTAAAAGATACGCTTTTTTTTTCAAACGATGGATATTATTAACAAAGACTAGAACATAGTCATACGGCCAAATACACAGTTACACAGTTGAATCTAGTAAGGAGAACTACAACAAAAGTGTAGCCTAGAACCTACCTACCACAATATACACGCTAAATAAAGCTCCCACTAGGAGAATAAAGCTCACAACATGAGAATAAAACTCCTAACAGGAGAATACATCAAACGCACTCCTAACAGGAGAGAAAAAATAAAAAACACGGCCTACACTTTTCAAAGAACATGTTTTTACGTAGTTATAGTACATATAAGCTAAACACACTAGGATTTCACATATTCTTCCACAATAATATACCACATCCCCTCTATATATAATTTCAGAATGCGCTGAGTCTACGTGGTAATCTCTCATACTTCGAAATCCTATTTGTCAAAAAATCATGCCTTTAGGCTTGCATATAAATTAATATTTGTATTAATTGTATTTTAATATCATTTCCTATTATAATCAAACTCTCCAATCATTTGCTCGAGTGTACCAGCGATCATGGAGGTGATAAAGTTTTGATACCTCGAATGACCATAACTCCTTCGGATGTTAGAGTACCATTCAAATTCCAAAGAAGGCAGTTCCCCGTTATGGTTTCATATACAATGACTATAAACAAGAGTCAAGGTCAATCCTTATATCATGTTGGCTTATTCTTGAAGAAACCAATTTTTAGTCATGGCCAGTTATATGTCGCTGTCTCCCGTTTACTAATAAAAAGTGTCTGAAAATTTTAATTTGTGGAGAAGAAGGTTTGAAAACTAATCAAATCAATAATGTTGTGTATAGAGAAGTGTTTAATAATATATAATTTTTTTTTTGTACTTTGTATTTCTCTCTCTTTTTTTATTACAATCAAATTATTAATTTATAAACAAAAATATTAAATAAAGTTTAGAAAAAAAGGTTTGAGGAATAACCTCACCGTACTGCATACGGGTACTATACTATATTTCTCAAAATAAATATAGTCCGTGCATCGCACGGGTTACGTATTAATAAAACACATGAAACTACAAAATTCCAAATTTAGGAAAAAAAAAAGCTCTGACAGAGGAAGCAGCTAAATTGTTTCAAAAACTTCAAAAAACAAATTAATAATTATAAATAATTGATAAAAAAGAAAGGTAATAAACAAAAGCCCCATACCTAGATTTTCCTTCGAGCTAAGTTCTGATGGATAAATCTTCCAAGTTCAAACCCTACTCCTCTCTCTTCTCTCTCTATTAGTCATGAAGTCTATTGCACCCATAGTTTTGTCAACATGGCTCACGCTGTTGACATATAGAATATTTGAATATGCATCATCAAGAAGAAGAAGAAAACAAATACAAATTCGTCATCATCCCCAGTATGACGTCATCGGCGATCTACCAGACTCTGTCCTGATCTCCATCCTCACGCGCCTGCCGGTCGAGGAAGCTGTCCGGACCAGCGTCTTGTCCAAACGGTGGACGAGCCTCTACAAATTCGTGGCCGACCTCGACCTCCGCTGCCACCACCTCCTCCTCCGCCGTCATCATCCTCCCCCTCGTCCTTCCATATTCGATACGGCCCAAGATATGGTCCAAGTATGTATGCATCATTATTACAACATAGATATCAGCTTCTCCACCGGCATCCTCGATGTATCCTCAAAGTATTTCGACTCCCGCCGTTGTTCTAAAATCCGTAGTCTCGTTTTCTGTTGTTGTCTGAGCAATTCATACTACAGATCATCCAAGGGAATGTTCCTTGCATTTGTCAAGTACCTAGCAAACACAGCCCAAGTTCAGAAACTCGTCTTTCAATGTTGTTGCCGCTCTTGCTCGATTTCTTGCCTCTACTTTCTTCCCTGGATGCCCGGCTTGAGGTACTTGGAGTTTCACTCGTCAATCTCGACTGCGTATTCGCCCAATTTGTATACTAATAACTCCCTACGGAGTCTGAGGTTGAGTAAAGTTACTCTACGTGAAGGTGCACTTGACATCATCTTGTCCAGTTGTTTGGGCCTCTGCTACTTGAGGATGAATTGCTGTGAGTTTCCTAGTTCTTCTAGGTTGTGTATTTGTGGGCCCAACCTTCGATTGGAGTATCTCAACATTGATAAGTGCATTGGGGTGCAGCAGATCAAGTTGTGTGCTAGCAATCTTGTTACGTTTGAGTTCCGGAGCCGTATAGCACGGGTCGAGCTCGTATTCGAACATGTCCCTCGTCTGCAGAGCATGTATTATGATGGCTTTCAACGAGACATTATGTATGACGTTCGTGTTAGCCTGTCCTTTGTGTTGCCTCCCAATCAGCTCAAGTCGTTAACTTTGGATACCGCATATGATATTTATCAGGTACGGGAATAAATACAACTACTTCTCTTCTATACATAGTATATAAGTTTCAGATCTTAACTTTTGGATTTCTTGATTCTCAGGTTAGCACGCCTGGTCGGATTAACACATATAGTAACCTTAGACAATTAAGGTTACGGATTTCTCGTACAGCCTACACGAGTATGCTTCTAGGGATAATTCCATTTTTGCAGAGTTGCCCACTCTTACATGAGTTTCACTTGGATGTAAGTTTCTCTAAAACAACAATCTTGTTGCAGCATTTAAGAATAACTTTTATCACAATCTCTATTCGTTGGAACAAATTGCAAACTAAAACAAGTGGATGCAGTTGAATGCATCTTAATACTAACTGTGTGATTATAACAAATTCCATTGGTGTACTCTCTAAACTAATTGTCGTTAAATTCCATGACTATAGTTCATTGGTGGTCATGTAAATTGAGAACCGGATATATATAACGAAACATAACATTGTAAATTCTCTATTTAAAGTGACATCCATATCTTTGTGGGACAAAATCTAAAAGAGGGTTCTTTTATGCAGACTGAATTTGTGAAAGGTGATGGCCCTAATTCAATGAGGCCTGAGACAGCAGAAACTCATTCCCAGTTGAAAAAAGTGGAAATAACAGGATTTTGTGGATCTAGAAATGAAATCGACTTTGCACTTTACATACTCGAAAATGCAATCTGTCTGGAGCAAATGCAGATAAGCCGGTGTCCCAAGTGGCACGTTGGGTTTGACAGGTGGCTGAAGTGTGAACACAAGCCTCGCTGGAGTCAACAGACGCGGGAAAACATCTGCCAACAATTGCAAGGCCGATCGCTTTCAGAGACCGCACGCGTAATTATTCGACATTCTCCAACCTACGATGATACTTGGTCGAGACGCAAGACTGATTATGATACTCATTTTCTTTGATTAAAAAGGTTAACTTTCGTAGTGCAAATGCAGCAAAATCCTAGAGGTGAGATAGTCTAGCTTATAGTATTTCTTAGAAGAGGTAGTTGTGTTGTTTAACATATCAGTTATGAATCCTTTTTATTTAAGGTTTTTGTTTAATATCCGAACACACATCATCTGAAAAACCTGGCAATCTCCTTTGAAAATCTCCGCTGTCATTGCTCTGCTGGTATGATTATGAATTCTCTCGATTAAATATTCTGTGATTCCGAAGTTCGAATGAGTTTGTTTAAGTTGATTTGCTTGTATGAATCCGAGATTTTTTTGTCAAGTATAAAGAAATCCAAATCTCTCAAAAAACTTAGAAGTCCTTTCCTTTTGAATCTGACTTCTCACTGCATGCTTGATTCCCTGCTGGGGATTAATTCAATAGTTTCGATTTTGAGCTAATTAGGACCATTTTTTTAGCTCAAACTTTGTGATTGAGATAATTAGGACCACTTCAAAATTCGAGACACATCACAACTGTTCTTAATTAACACCTATATGCGGGCTGTTTCAGTTATTTTTCTGATTATTATATAAGTAGGAAACTTTATAAATATAGTTACCGTAAGCCTTCCTCAAACAATTATTTAATGCATTGTTTTCTACCACATTTTTGTATTTGATCTTCATCTTTATAGCATACGCATTGTGCTCTAGCGAGTCTAGCTTATTTAGAGCAGTGATAAATGCATGGGGCAGAATCTAGGCCCCGAAGTTTCCGTTTCATGATGACCGTGCAAAAGATTTCTGGAGTGTTTCTGAAGCTCTGCCTGAAGACTGCCATATTCTTGCTGTTCACTGTAGAAATATTCAAACCTTATTTTTATTGATTCTTATTTTATTGCCTGCCTGCTTGATTGTGAATAATTTGGTAATTTTTTTGTTTATTGATTATCTTAAATTCTTAATCAAATCATGAACCATGTTATTCCCATTGTTTAAAGGTTTGTTATGTTAATGTATACTGCGCAAAGCCCCCGTACACGGCATTCTTAGATTTTCATTTTCTGTTCTTCTCTTTCACAAAACATTGTCCATTGTGTTGATAGCGACAACTTATCAAATGCGTTGTGTAGCGATTCAGAGAAGATATTTTACATGTTACTAAAGTCTATGAATATATATTATCCTTTGTATTCATTACTATAAGATAGAGTAGGAAATCTGAAATAAGGCTTGGAAAGGTAGTATGGTCTAGGATGGCTGATTTTGGAGCTTCACTAGATTTCTCTTTTTCTTCTGCTTTCTATAGTTGTGATCAGTACTTCTCTTTCAGTACTAGGATTGCCCTTTTTTATAAGAAAGTTCCTGAGAAATTTGCATATGATCAGTTATTTTTTTGGTGTGAACCTCGGTTGCGAAAGGAACCAAAGTTCGTATATACTGTGGATATGAATGTTAACAAACTCATAAGCCTTGGACGTAATAATAGTAGCGTTTTGACAGTAAGTGATGATCTATTATAGTTATGTTTGATGTCTTTTCTGCTTTGCATCTTTAGGTTCTAAAGACACTTGTCGCAGAATACATTGGTTTTGAACTTATTTTTTCCATCTTTAAGGTTCTGAAGACATTAGTTTTGAACTTAATTCTTTGCATCTTTAAGGTTTTGAATAGAAGGTTTGACGTAGGATTTTAAAGAAGAAAGTTTAAGATAACTTGAAAAGAAAATTGCAGTTTTGACGCACGTAACGAATTGAAATTTAATATTTCACTTTGATATACGTACATTTTTAATTGACGGGCCCATCATATGAACTTTTTGTTGTCGATGTAGTTGCCATCATTGTGCTTTTTTCCAGTTGTTAGGTGCAAACAACTACACTATGGCATTGTGCTTTTTTCCAGTTGTTAGGTGCAAACAACTACACTATTTTTCTAATATCAGACTTCATCAAGCATCGTGCTGTGTAATTGAGGGTTCGATTGCTCTTCCGGTGATAGTTTTGTTAAACGATCACCATAGGCGAAACATTTCTTTCAACATTACAGGTTCGTCTGAGGATCGAACATCCTTGAGAACTGACAAACAATATTCAGGTTTGTGTGGCAGATCACAGATGAGTGTGATTTTGGTGGAAATAATGATACTGTTATGTTTAATTAAATGGGCTGTATTACCTTGGTGATAAGGTAATAGAGATGGACTATCACATGAGAGCATTGCGAGGTTCTTGTTGACTGCCTCTGGTGGTGAGTAATTCGTTATGGTTCTGAAATATATTGTTGTCGTTTTTTCTTTTACCTCCGATGGTAAGTTCTTAGTGTCTTGATCTTGAATTAGCTCCAAATGTAACTTTAGTACAATATCCATTTGTGAAAGTTTCTCAATAGTCAGTGCTTATAGGGCTTCAGGGACAGGCCCATATGGTGAAAAAATGGGAAACTGGAATACGGCAATTTTGCGTTGTACTATGTTAAGTATGCGTATTTATTTGTTTAATCTCTTGATTTTCTAAATACGTTTTGTTTAAACTGAAACTGAACTGCAGGTACAGGTTTTCTGAACTTATAAAACTGCCAACTGCTTCCTTTCGGAAATCTTAAAGTTGCACTTTTTATATTGCTGTCTGGATTTAACAGGTGATTAAATCTTGTACTGTTGCTATCTTGTGAGCATTATTTGGCACTTTAGTTACATTATGGTTAGCCATGGTAGTTGGTGATTGTTCGTACGAGTCTTTGTGGGACAAAATCTAAAAGAGGGTTCCTTTATGCAGACTGAATTTGTGAAAGGTGATGGGCCTAAAGCAATGAAGCCACAGACAGCAGAAACTCATTCTTAGTTGAAAATCGACTTTGCACTTTACATACTCGAAAATGAAAGCTGTCTGGAGCAAATGCAGATAAGCCGGTGTTCCAAGTGGCACGTTGGGTTTCACAAGCCTTGGTGGAATCGACAGATGCGGGAAAAAATATGCCAACAGTTGCAAGGCTGAGCGCTTTACATTTTCCAACTTACGATGATACTTGGTCGAGATGCGAGATTGATTGTGATGCTCATTGTCTTTGATTAAAAAGGTTAACTTTCAATCTTAGAAGTTAGCTATTTTAGCTTATAGTATTTCTTAGAAGATGTGTTTATGTTGTTTAACATATGAGTTGTGAATCCTTTTTATTTATTTAAGGTTTTTGTTTAAAATCCGGACACACCATCATATATTTGTTTAAATACTTCCTTTGTTTAATGTTTGTTTTACTTTCACATTGACTTATCCAACAATGGACAAACATTTTGTCAAACATGTTGCTAAGGAAAACTGGGACAATCAGGTAAACGGTTTTTCTACGGAGCCATTGGATTGTTTTTCTTACGGAGCCATCCGCCTACGTGGTTCTTATGTGGCGTACACATGTACATTAAATACAGCAAATGTGTCATTTATTATTATTTTACATAAATAAAGGGGAAAAAGAAAAGAAAAGAAAAGAAAGTGACAAACGATACTTCTTCTTCTCTTCTTCTCACATCGGCTTCTCCTCTGGCAGCCACCAAAAGGAAAAAAAAAAAAAATTACTTTTGCACAAAAAACGCACCACAATCTCCGAAGCAGGTAATTAAATTATTTAATCCACTAATTTTCAAGTTCATATTTTTTTCTTCATGTCATTATTAACAAAATATTATTACAATGAAACTAGAACAAAGAATATTAAATATCATTTTTTTTGTCAATATTTTGAATTTGTTTTTATTATTTATAACATTCAATATATTTATTTTACATAGGATGGAGATTGAGCAAGACGAAGCGTTCATACCACAGGTTGATTCGTCGGTCAAGCCTTTGATCAACAACATGTTGACTTAAATGAAGAATTGATGGCTAGTCATGTTGACTTAAATGAAAAGCTATGGATCAACACCTCATTCGCTATGGAAAAGCAGATGGCAGTGATTTATACGAAGTCTATATTTTTATTATTCCAGAAAGAGTTCGAAGAAAGTGCGAGTTATATATGCAAAATGGTCTCAAGTTTAAACGATTCCCGAGTTTATGAAGTTTGGCGGTTTGATTTTGAAATGAATACTAAACGTCGGCGATATTTGACGTATGATGCCTCTGAAGATTTTATAGCATGCAGCTGTAAAAAATTTGAGTTTGAAGGGTATCCTTGTCGACACATGCTATGTTGGATGAGAGTTGAACTAGTAATGTTAGTACGTGAAAAAAAGGTGGACGAAGAATGCAAAGAGTAACTTTATTTATGATACGCCATTTGACTTTGAAGTTGGTAAATCTTTGCAAGGCAGACGTGGGGCGCTGATGAAAATAACGAGAGAGCTCATCGATGATGCATCGTTGACTGAAGCAAGTTTCTAATGGAAAAGCTCAAAGTTTTGAAATGGGAGGATGGTGAGATTGATGACAAGGAATGCATGAGCAAGCGATTGAGTAAAAGCAAAGACAAAGAGACGTTTCTTGTATGTGACTCCGAGCCTATACAAACTAAAAGTTGTGGCAAACGTCTAAAAGCCGAGTAAAGAGAAAGCCATATCTCAAAGTGCTCGATCTTGTAGTTTGTGTGGGCAGAGGGCCATGACAAGTGCAAATGTGCAAATCATAGCATTCACCTTGAAGATGATTCTATCGTCCCAGTTGCTCTCAAACATTTATTTTAGTAGTTAGTCATTTTTTATATGAATGGTTTTGTTTTTAATGAGACATTAAATTATTTTTGTTACTTTTTAGTATTTTGATTGTTGCTATTTTATCTGGAGTATTTGGAGCAAAGATGGATGAAAAAAAGTACTTCATATTCATCTGTTGTTTTGCTGTGTGAGTTGGAACAAATATTTTTTAAGTTTCTTATGTTTTTTAGATTTGTTTTTCAGTCATCATTACACCATATTATCAGCTGCACATTCTTAACATCTATTCAATCTCATTTATGTTAATTTTTATGTTTGTTCTAGAATTTTGTTGTCTTAACGTAGTTGGCGTTTTCCGATTCTGTTGTTTGTAGTGCGAAAAACTAGTCTCATTGTGTGGTGATTGCTGTTGAGTAGGAGCATTTGTTCTGAATTTTCTGGTGTGTGTGTGTGTATGAAGTGAAGTAGTGAGTTAATTATATGAGTTAGCTATGTTTTTTAGGGGAGCATGGTTTTTGACCTGCTAGCATTGGATTGGATATAGGCCCGGGCTTGAGGCTTGAGAATAGGAAGTATGGTTATGAAGAAGATACTACAACATATTCAGAAATTGAATGCTACAACTGCTGAAAATAATTCATGAAGGAAACAAGTCTACTGGTGGATTGATTCAGATAGTCCCTTTTCATTCATATTGATTCAGAAACAAGTCTTGGTCTTGCTTACTTTCTTTCATTTCCAAAAAGAATTAATTCTGATGATACTTTTTCTTTTCCTGCTTTGTCACCAAAATCTCATCCAAATTAAACAATTTCCTGCAGCATAAACCAAAACAAAAAAGATCCAAGCAACCTTTATGTCCTCACAACAAATAATATCCAAGCAACTTCATATCCTTATATCACTTCAAATTGTATTCATGTCTTACAAATGTTGAAAAGCAATAAGCTCAACAAAGTACTTCAAGATATCATACAAAGTAAAATATTTCCCGAACTCCCCTGGACATGATGAAGAGACCAACATGCTAAACAATATCCTACCCTTTCCCACCTAGCTTAGACAAAAAAAATCTTGAATTCCACAAGCCACAACTGAAGAAAAAAGTTCAGCCTGAGCTCAAATAGGTAGCTGACATTCCAGGAACATGTTTACCTCTTCCCGAAAATCCACGGTAACAGAAACAGGAAAACCCAATTGTAGCCGCTGCTTCATACTTGACGTGGGTACGCTTTCACCTTTCGCTTTTGGTGCCGGAACAGGAAAACAATGCTCGCAGCACACCTCCCCGCAAGCGCCGGTGGTTCCAGTCTTTCTAACCCGTACAAGCAGCTTCTAGACCAGCCGGCGCCGAATCCTCCATCCGAGCTTCACCACATACCTCGCTCGCCAAGATAAGGCCCAGCCGCACGCGGTCTCTCCTGGAGCTGCGCGCCGAATCCTCCGCGCGAGCCGGTCGATGAGTGTCACGATGTTCTAGAACCGGGCCTGCCCAGGGAGCATGTGAACCCGACCGTCGATGGGGGATGCTGTGGCAATTGGTTTGTGCCCTGCATCTGCAATCCGACGGGGAATTTAGGGATGGGAAGATTTGAGGGAGTTTGGGACTTCAATCGTGCGGTTTGGAGAAGAAATATAGTTTCTTTCCTTTTCTTTTTTTTTTCCCCTTAAGTGCAGTTTGAGTCTTGTTGATTTCAAATGAGTCTACGAAATCCTCCCACTGCTTATAAACCCAACCAATTTCCACTGCACTTCATCCTCTAAGATTGTAAGAGCAACTTTCCTCTCATCGTCCTTAAGTAGCTTTAACGAGTCTTGATTTATAGGTAATACCAATAGGCTGCAAACTTGAGTCTTTATTTATAGGAAATACCAAGAAGCTGCAAACTTTGTTCTATGTAATCTTCCATAAACTTTTTTTGCAGTTAAAGGTCATAAAATAGAGTTGTAAATGAAGAGTTACTATTAACCAGAAAACAAATCCGATGATATTGATGGTGGTAATTATAGGTCACAACTAATATCTATTTCTATTAGGATTTTTGAAATTATAAAATAGGAATGATTTCGTGAGGTTAATTACTCTTTATATATGGATGTAAGTTAGTTATTGTAGATAATTCATAGTTAAAAACATCACTGTAGTCAGGGGCGAAACCACATAGAGGCAAGGAGTGGCCTCGGCCCTCCCATAATTTTTTTTTTTTTAATAGGTATAGGGGCCGAGGTCGCCGGCCGGAGGCGGCGCCCTTCCATTGGCTCTGTTCAATTTTTCAAAGCGTGACACTGCAGTTTTGTTCGGAAACTGCCAGAAAATTTGCGAGCAGCAAACGGAGGACGGGAATGGTGGTAGCGACAGCCTTTTGCCGTGAGTTCACTTATAGCAGCAGTGACAACCGTCGGCCGATGTTCACAGCTTCCTCTCGAGAGTATATGAACCCGACAGTTCACTCCGGCGGGCTTTTTCCGGCGAGAAAAATGGCAGCAAGGTCATTAAAGCATCATTTTTATGTCCCGACTTCGAGAACCCGTCGGCCCTCGTTAGGCGCACCGAAATTTAATGGGAGTGCTTTCTAGAAAGTACGAGAAGAGTAGAAGCCGTTCGTGGTGTTTATTTTGCAATTTGAGGTCCCAAGCATTTATTTTGAGAAGCTCGAGTTGGAGTGCACAAATTAGAAAAATAAATAAAAAGCCGTTTACGTCCGCCCCGCAAGGTCGCGTGAGATTTCGGTTTGCTGAAAAACGAGTTGGGACGTGCAGACCTTATTGGCACGATGCCATTCGAGCCATTTATTGAGTTTTTCGGAGCTCCGAGCATTTGTTTAGAGGAACCTGAAGTTGATGTATAAATATTAAAAATAAGCGAAGTGTCGAGGACAAGTTCGATCGTTCGAGGCTTCATTTTTCTCGATTCTTTCAGTTTCTTGTATATTCGAGATGAGGTATAAATCTGGACTATCCTTTTTAATTAATTTCGAGCATAGTTTGAAGGTAAAAATCGGCCATCCCTTTATTCGGATTCTAGTTTCGCCACTGACTGTAGTCTTCTCCTGTAAAATAATTAACTAACTTAAAAACTATAAATATATTTTAAAAGTCATCACCTTTTGTATTTGTTGTCGATTTTTTATATATAATATATCATGTTAATTATCTTTTGACGAGCTTTGATTTTACATCCATGTTGCACATATAAAATAAAAAGTTATATTTATTATTATAATAAAAAATAAATTATCTAATAATATTAATAAAAAAATAACAAAATTATTTATCAACTAAGTAAGTTTATCTATAAAACATTATTACATAATCTAAGTTAGAAAAATTATTATAATATAACATGAATAAGTCGTACAAAGTGAACAATATTGTTTTAAATATATATAATAGTGTAATATTTTAAAGGAAATTTAAATTTTTGAAAAAGATTTCTTTCTCCTTATATTTTTAGTACATATATTATAATTATAATCTTATGTGTCTAATTTTGGTGCATCGTAATCCTTTATATTTCCATTTGTTGTGCTTTCGTAGCAGTAACATGACTTCTATCTATACCAATTATAACTTTTAAAATAAAAAAGAATAATTTAAATTATAAATATATTTTAAATGTTAACAACTTTTGTATTTTTCATGTATTATATATCAAAGTAATAATCTCTTGACGACATTCGATTTGATAAACAATTTTTATTTTTTGTTATAAAAATTAAAACATCTATAAATACTAATTAAAAATAATATAATTAGACATAAACAAAAGTAATTTTCTATATATTCACTGAATTAGAAACTTATTATAATATATAACAGATAGATCGTACAAGTGAAAAATATCGCTTTAAATATAAATAGTTGTACAACTTTTTTTAAATGCATTTAAAAATATATTTTTTGAATTTAAATTTAATCTTTTTATATAGCATTCGTGCAATCCACAAGTGTTTTGCTACTATTATTAAACAGGATAATACAACAAGAAAAAAGAAAAGTAAAAAACAATTTTCTTCATGACAATTATTTTAGATAGTTTTTAATTTATTTTCTTATTTTCTTTTCCCACACACGCAATGTGTGTGGCGAGTGCATCCCATCAACGATTGTTGAAAGTCGTCAAGAACGCAAAAAATTAAAATCACAAAACACCGGCTTCTTGTTTGAAGTTCAACCCATTTTCCTCTCACACATAAACAGTCTTGAGGAAGAAAAGAGAAGATTAAAGCTCGTTATAGTAGCAATTATGGGAGTTCCTGCTTTTTACCGGTGGCTGGCCGATCGGTACCCGCTGTGTATTGTGGACGTGGTGGAGGAAGAGCCGAGAACGAACGAAAATGGCGTGCCTCTACCCGTCGACGTATCAAGACCAAACCCCAATGGAATTGAGTTCGACAATCTTTACCTGGACATGAATGGAATCATTCATCCGTGTTTTCATCCGGAAGGCAAGGTAGCTTTCGTTTTTCTGTTTCATTTGTTTATTCCTTCGATTTATTTGGTTACGTTGGCCAGCAGACGTGCTGCGTAGTCTATTCATCTTGGGTTGTATGGTAGCCTGATGACTAAATAGCTGAGATTTGACAATTGCTTCTTCTTTTAACCGGGGACAAAAGCAAATAATTTCTTGATAATATGAAAAATCAGATTAGAAATTCACGAAGTGGAAGCTCACTGAGGAAAAGAGTGCTGTGTGGCCGAACTTATATCGTGCATTTGCTTTGGATTTTTGTGTTTATGACGTGACTGGGATGAATTTGTTTGTGGCGGGGCCTTGTTAATGCATCTATTGTTATCTTGATTGTTGACTACAGAATTTGTGTAAAGATAAACAAGAATTGATGAACTTGAACTGGCTACTGTGACGAAATGCTGGATATTGGGATCATGGTTTGGATGTTAAATGCACAAGTTGATTTAGTCATTTTTATATCTTTGTCGTGGGTTGCTTCTCTTGGTGAAGAGATAGTGCACAGGAAGCACCCACAGAATCAGCATAGCTATTATATATATCTTTTTTCTTAAATGTTTGCCCGTGTTGAGGATTTAGAATTATAATAACCTTGGATGTATTTGCTGTGGTACCCAAATTGATTTAGTTTATAACAATATTTTGATCTATAATCATTAAATTTGAGATGCTGTGGCACTTGAATTTGATTTGGCATATTACAAAACTGATTAGGCAATTGATTCTGTTTTACCATTTATTTGCGAGCCATCTGAGTTATTTGCTGGATATGTGATGTTAAATGGAGTTCATTTAGTGGAAAGGTTCTACCTTCTAGCTCTTGCATGCCATTGGCATTTTTTGTGGATAAGTATTACCACAAAATAATGTCTCCTCTCTTTACTGCAGTCTGCACCCGCCACTTATGACGACGTATTTAAATCTATCTTTGATTACATTGACCACCTCGTGTCATTGGTTCGTCCAAGAAAGCTCCTTTATATGGCCATTGGTACGCTCTACTTTAATTAAATTTCTACAGGCATGACCTATACTTAGCATAACCCTCCCCTCTCTTTCACAGATGGGGTGGCTCCTAGGGCTAAAATGAACCAGCAAAGATCTCGTCGTTTCAGGGCTGCTAAGGATGCTGCTGCTGCCGTATGTATTCTGTGCTGAATGAATTGAACCTAGTGTATGATGTTATTTTTAGCAGTCCAAATTAGTAATGGAAAAACCCCTCATGTCAGGAAGCTGAAGAAGAAAGTTTGAGGAGAGACTTCGAAATGCAGGGTGAAAAACTATTGCCTAAAGAAAAGACTGAGACATCCGATTCCAATGTGATCACCCCTGGCACTCCATTTATGGCAGTACTCTCTGTTGCTCTTCAATATTATGTACAAAGTAGGTTGAATCACTTACCTGGATGGCGTTTTCTCAAGGTTGGGTGAAATCATCTTTCTAGAAATTTTCTATTCTGGTTATTGTCAAATTGGATAAATCCATTCTGTGGAGTGATCCTTTCTGTCTTTTGTACGTTTCTGGTTTCCAGGATACTTAGCTTGTTTGGAATCATTTTTTAAGAATTATTTATATTTATTGGTTAATTAAGAATGGACTTTTGGATACCAAAAATTCAATTTTAAAGCGTAAGGAATAGAGACGTTTGGAGAAGTCCTTTTTACAAATGTCCATTTTCCTTATGGACTTCCGCAAAACTGCTCCCAAACAAGTGCTTCAATTTTCTTAATTTACTTATGAGGTTGCACTGGGTGATTATTTGAAGGTAATTCTTTCTGATGCAAATGTTTCTGGTGAGGGCGAGCACAAAATAATGTCCTATATCCGTTTACAACGCAACCTTCCTGGTTTTGATCCAAATACCAGGCACTGTCTGTATGGTCTGGTGAGCATTAGAAAATTAGTGGAACCTTTTATAAAGTCTTTAGTTCCTGACTTCCTGTCTTTTTTCTCTTAACCTGTAAATATATTTATTTTGTGGGTTTGGGTTGTGCATTTGGATTACAATTTCTTAAACATTGATTCATATATTTTACATAGGATGCCGACCTCATCATGCTTTCACTAGCCACTCATGAAGTTCACTTCTCAATACTGAGGGAGGTTAGTCACTGTCATAAACTCAAGAAGGAACTATACTCTCCTAGTAGAAATAAAAGGTATCCATTTTGACGATTCTATTGTGTTGCAGGTTATCAATCCTCCTGGGCATCAGGAAAAGTGTTTCCTCTGTGGTCAAGTTGGCCATTTCGCTGCTGACTGTCGTGGGAATGATCGAGATCAAGAAGCAAGTGGAAAGCTTTTAGATGATACCCCTATTTATAAGAAGAAGTATCAGGTTGAATATTGCAACCAAATATCTGATGATTTAGTGACTGGCTCTTGCCTGCTCTTACTGTCATGCTGTTATCTTCAGTTCCATCCTTGTTAATGATTCTTCTGATGTTTTTATATTTGTTGCCAGTTTCTCAACATCTGGGTTTTGCGAGAATATTTGGGGTATGAAATGGATATCCCAAACCCACCATTTGAGGTTGAGTTTGAGAGGCTGGTGGATGACTTTGTGTTTCTTTGTTTTTTTGTCGGCAATGACTTTCTTCCTCATATGCCCACTCTAGAAATTAGAGAGGTATGCAGCCGTAGAATCAGTTGAATCTGATAATCATTTTTTTTTCCATGGAAAATATGCAATTATACATTGAGATAAAAATTGTTTAAAAAACTCTTGTATCTATTATTAAATAATTGTGTTCATGTTCCATATTAATGTACATGCCTTTATCTTTTCAAATATTAAAGTTATCGTTTTCACCTTTTTAATGCTGTAGGGTGCTATAAATTTGCTCATGTTTGTATATAGAAAGGAATTCACAGCAATGGGTGGGTATCTTACTGATGCTGGTGAGGTAATATTTATCTCTTCCATAGAAATTAAACGTATATTTAGATGTCATTCTGATTTTGGGTAGTCTACATTGTGTAATTATTGCATTTGAAAGTTAGCACGTACTGAACTGCTTTCCTTCAAGTGATGATCTCATTGATTTTTTAGTTTGTTTTCATGATAACTTTCTTTGGATGCTGTTCTTTGTTATGTTATACAATAGAATACTGGAAAGTATTGATTTTTTATTTTCTTTCCTCTAGTTTTGAAGGTTTTTCAATGCTCTTATCTGTTTATTGGATTTGGATACCTATAGGTATTCTTGGACCGAGTCGAGCACTTTGTCCAGGCAGTTGCAGTGCACGAAGATCAAATCTTCAAAAAGAGAACACGCATACAGCAGGTATCCTGTTCATTCAAACCAATCCCTTCCTCTTGGTTAATGATAGCTGCCTTATAACTCCGGTCAAACTGAATCTTGATGCTACAAATACAGCTACTTCTCCTGCTATTGTTGTTGGATGAATATAGGTTTTGTTGCATGGTAGCTTTTTCTATTCATATATATTTTTATGTGTGTTATGATGAGAAACTATGAATTTTTATTGAGAATGAGTTAAGCTACATTGAACAAAGGGATTCTCTTCCAGATGTTAAAACAAAACAAATCAACTGCAATAGACATCCTCCAAGCTCTAGCTATAGATGTAAAGAGTGCCTAAAACTTGTGGTTTGGAACTCGTCATGCAGCCCTAAGCATAACTCTATTGCACACCTACCTAGATTCATCTGTAACTTCAGAAGTTTTTTTTTTTTCTTTTTCTTTTTTTTCATAACCCAACTAACATATTATAGCTTGAAACTTGCTTCTAGAATCACTTGATCCATGATATTGATAAGTTCGTTTTCATTACAAAAATTATAAGTTCACCCATTTCATTCTGTAAGATTCACTCCTAGCTTTCTTATGCTTTGATGGGGAAACAAATTATGTATGAGCTGGTTAACTTGTATTTGGGGTCTTTTCCTGAAAACTTATATATACTGATGGCATTATTTTTCTTCATATTTTTCAGGCTTATGAATATAATGAAGAGATGAAACTCAAAGCAAGAGGGGAGGAGAAGCCAGAGCAGCAGACTTTGGGTGTAGACAAGGTGTGCAGCTTATATTCTTCTCTGCAGTAGAATCGACATGAAATTATTGTGATTGTTAACGTCATAGATATGCAACCTATTCCGATTTCCCTCCCATTATGAGATGTCAATTTGTATTATTAACTCCTCTAATAAGTAATAACTACTTTGGTAACGGCATCCTTAGTAATTGAGTTTTTATAATCAAAAGGTTTTTGAACTCTTAAAAAATCTAAAATATGAAACTATATATCAGAAGTTATAACAATGATGTGTGATAGGTTCAGTTATTTTATTAATTTTGTTGCACGGTTGCACCAAATTACACATTCAAGTATTCAACTGTCATCATTATCATCTTCATATTATTATAGTTGTTGTTTGGTTGTTGTCACCATCATCGTTGTAATTATTATCTTAATCGCTATAACGTTGTCGACATCATCAACACCTGTTCTCGGTAATGGCAGAAAAGTCTATTTCCGGTTTCGCCGGACTTGTCCATTTAAATGGTTATTCATTATTAATTTTCCGAACTGTTTACACTCTCAGGTGAAGTTGGGGGAGCCTGGATATAAGGACAGATATTATTCTGAGAAGTTTTGTGTGTCGCAACCCGAGAATATTGATGAAGTTAGATCGGACGTGGTAAGTACATAAATCACATTGAACGGTATGTCTTATTACCGACGTGTGACTTGTCTCTCTGTGTTTGTGAATGACAAACTACCTTATATGTTAACTTTTGCATTTTACAGTTAAGTATTGATTGCTTCATAGACAGGTCCATGTCCACCTTTTTCTGCTGGCACATGCATCCTACTATTGCCTGTGTTATACCTCTGATGTATGTGAAATGGAAATTTTCAGAAAGTTAATTAGCAATATGAACACCCAAATCAAAGTATGTTGTGCTTACTCCTGGAACTGGTAAACGAACTGTTAGTATCTAATGTTTTTGTTTGTTTTCCCTGATTTAGTTGGGAGGATTGGGAAAGGAAGAGATATTAATTGAAAGCCTCAGGGTTCCATTAATATGTTCTTACTCATATAATAAGGTTTTTATATAACTACCCCAAAACTTGGATGGTGCCTATGCCATTAATATTAATTATTTCTGTTACCAATACATATACAGAATTTACAGACCTTGATGAAAAGACGCCAAAATCACCTTTTACAATTTCCTTCATTCCAGAATTTTCTTATTTATTGCATGCACACTTGTATCACATGCAGAAGAAGTGTACTCATGTTTGTTGATTCTTCTATCCGCATCAGCCGTCGTGCTTTCTTTATGTTCGGCTAATGTGGCACTTTACAGTTGCCTTACCAGAAAAGGAGGATAAGTGATGAATTTTGTTGCAGGTGTTGAAGTATGTGGAAGGCTTGTGTTGGGTTTGTCGCTATTACTACCAGGGTGTTTGCTCATGGCAATGGTTTGTTGATATGTTTCCTCCACAGAAGAAAATAATTCATTTGCTGACCATTGCATTTATTGGTGAATGTGGATTTTGATACTGGGATGTATACAGTTTATTGAATATCTTCGACTTGTATTCATGTAATGGTTGATGAGCAAGAATGTACATGTTAGTGTGCAATTGATGTTCATTAGAGGAAATCAGTGCATGGCATTTGGTGTCTTTATGAGTCAAATAGAAACTAAAAACTTAAGAAATAAAGATCTGCTTTAGTAATCCTTATTACTCCCTGACATATAATATATGCAAATCATTGGAACCTTGAGAGTTGTGCTGTATTGACTACATTGAGAACTTTTTTGGTTTGAATCTTGTACCTGTGCACTCACATTTTGAAGTAAACAATAGCTAATAGCTGCTTCTTTGAACATGTAGCTTTTAATGTCATGTTTTTGTCCAGGTACTATCCATATCATTATGCTCCCTTTGCATCAGATCTTAAAGGCTTGGCTGATTTAGAAATAACTTTTTTCCCTGGGGAGCCATTTAAACCCTTTGATCAGCTACTAGGAACCCTACCTGCTGCAAGGTACTTGATTTTTTCTTTTTCGTCTTAGTTTCCGCTGATTTCTTCAGAGTTTCTATGCATTTACTTATCTCTTTCCTTTCACAGTTCTGCTGCTCTTCCCGAAAGATACAGAGAGTTGATGACTGATCCTGCATCACCTATTTTTCATTTCTATCCAACTGGTATTCTCAGTTGTTTGTGGAAGCTTGCATATTTTCCTGTTGATTTTCTAGACATAATTTTAGTTCCTTTCTCTTACTAGATTTTGAAATAGACATGAATGGAAAGCGGTTTGCTTGGCAGGTAACTCTATTTTCGCTTAGATGATTCATAACATTTAAATATCATTTGACCATTGAAAATCACCTCACCAACAGGGTGTGGCCAAATTGCCTTTCATTGACGAGAAGAAATTGCTTGCTGAGACGAAGAGGCTTGAGGATACCTTGACGGTAAGAAAAATGCATATTCCTGTAATTGTACCCCTTTTTCTCCCGCATAACTATCATAAATAGCTGTATGCCTATCACTGTTTGGATGTGCTATGTTGACCTATAGTTGGGATTAGGGCATTGTACTAAATAAAGGTAGTGTGTGACCCTTTCATATGAAACTGTGAAGCAGTAACTTTAAAGGTTCAACTTATTCTTTTCCTAAATATAGGATTCTGAGACAAGAACAACTGCTTTCTTTGACATCCTAGCTCTTTACTTCCTTGGACATCTGAAACTGCATTGTAGTAAATCTTATATTCAAGGACGGAAAGTACAGAGTTCTATTGTCGAACAAATGCCTGTTGCACTATTGCTTCACAAATGGACAATGTAGAAAAGGATGGACATGGTTCTCCTTGCAATTCCTACATGTCGCAAAACTTTGTACTTAGGCCTTGGTCATGATAAGTTTTGTTTAACCATAATAAGTTTACTTTTGTGACATATTGAACATTTAATCCACCATCATTTTTCTCGTAGTTTTTTCCTTTTTGCTCTCAGCATGTTGTCTCTTACAAGGTCAATATTTGGTATAATGTATAAACAAAGCTGATTGTCTGGAACTGCTGCATGTAGAAATTATTTTTGACATATAAGATGAAAACCCCCATGCTGTAAATGAATTTCTGTGGTTGCGTTGAGCCGTTGAATATTTTTTAGTGTATTGATTTGTTGGTTTGTTTGTGCATGTTTATGATTTTTAACAGGAGGAAGAGCAATTCCGAAATAGTTTCATGTTCGATTTGCTCTATGTTTCTCCTCATCATGCTTTGGCTCCACAAATTTATCTTTGCTATCGTCTTTGTAATGGTGAAAATTTATTGTGGACAATTGACACCTATGCGAGGTTAAGTTATTTATGTTAATGTATTTTGCATTTTATGAATTTTACTTTTCACTTTAGCTGTTTTTGCTGAATATTTTGTTGTGTTCTATTTCCAATTTTGGCTGTTTCAGTGGTGGGATGAATGGATTCATGTGGTTGACTAGGAGAAATGGCTTGAAACCGGTGATACCTTCCCCAGTCAATGGATTGGAAGACATTATGAACAATCAAGTTCTGTAAGTTAATTGAGGTCTTGCACACTGAAGTTTTGAAATACCCAATGAAAGGAATGAGATTATCCACTTTTTGCAGAAATATCACGTATCTTAATCCACCACCACATGCTCACATTCCGAAGCCCCCTGAAGGTGTAAATATGCCTGATAAGGTAATGTGAAATTCCTGGATTTGATATTTTTTGCGAAATTGTGGGTACTCATTTTCCCAATTTTTGGAGATATATCTATATTACTGGAGAGGGGAAAAAATTGCTTGCTAGATCTAAAGTCATGAAAATACTTAACATCTTATATCCAAAGAAAAAAAAAAAATTGAGTCATAAACTATTCTTAGAACTCTTCTCTTGGAAAGAGGCATCCGAGTTCGGTAAAATTAATTATATCTTAGATATAGTAATACTTTGCTTGATCTTTTTCTTCTCCAGACCTACCTAGATATTGTGGGCTGGTCTCAGATGTCCAATTACAGTATTTAGTTTGTTTTCCATATATTTGTCCTTCCAGATTGCAGAGGGGGTGAAATTGAACAAAAACCTTGAGATTTGAACTGAATTCCAGGAACCTGCTGTGCTGTCCTTTTTTTTTTTTTTTTTTNGTTGTTGCATTGCATCTCAATCTCTTCGAACTGAAGTTGCGAAATGGAAGTTTTTATTTATTAAATGCAATCAAGTATTGGTAATTCGAAATACTGACTAAAATTGTACCTAGAAATTGGATGCGCTGAACATTTTTTACATCCCTATTTGAGTATAGGTACAATATAAAAAGCTCAGACATATTGGAGTTGGTTCGGTTCAATTAATTACTGAATTGAAGTTGGGCCATACACTCATACTCAATGATGACTTTTATTTTTCAATAAATTTCAATTATGGATGCTGGAATATTGCTCGTATCATTCAAATTGCAAACTGGTGATATTTTTTTATGGAAATTATCCCTAATTTACGTTCCTTTTCACCTACTTGTCCCAATGAACAGATTCTAAAGTAATTCTGTTAGCCTTTTGTTGCTAATGTGATAATGTTTATACTTGGTCGCCTGTGTTTGTCCAAGCGTAAAACATCTATTCATAGGTGTTCTTACGGAAATCTACACTCTTCGCACAGAATGTATGTGTTTAATGCATGGGTTTGACATGCTAAAATTTGAGCGCAAGAAAAAAAAAACATTTTCAGTTTACAGACCAATGATTTTTTATTTCTGAATTGCGGAATGAAGTTTCTTTTACTTTAATGATACATAGCCCCTTTTATATTTTGAACGCAGATCTTAAGACCTACTGACATAAAACCACTCCCAACATTATGGCACGAAGATAATGGTGGAAGGAACCAGTTCGGGAGGCAAAGGTACTAACTAAACCTAAGATAATAGGGACATAAAGAACTGCATTCTGAATTCTGATTGACAATATCACAATATAGATCGATTTTTAGCTGTTCAAGATATTCTTTTAGAAGCATCTCAAGCCTTCATTTTTTACAAGTGTACTTGCGCTTATCCTTTTTATTAACAGACCACAGGTATCCGGCAATTTATCTGGTCCTGTATTGGGTGAAGCTGCTCATCGTTTAGTTAATAATACACTTAACATCAAGTCAGAGAGAACTCACCCACGTAGCTTTCAGGGGAATCATGTCATAAATAAGACGAGGCCAGCTGGGCCATCTGGCTATGAAAGGGGTGGTTACCCATCAAACCAATATGACTCATACAAGCAAAGAGCAGCTGGTCGATATGGCTACAATGAACAAGGATATAATTATGAGGATCCGAATTCTCATTATGGAAATTATGGTTCTCGTTTTCAAATGGGTACAGCTTCTAGTAGTTATGGTGCCTACCCAAACAATATGCAGGGCAATTACAACGTTGGCTATAATAATAATAAAAATAATAGTAATAATATGGAAAATAGATATGATCATGAACTAAGAAATGGCATGTCGGCTTTGACCATCGAAAGTGGTTCTAGAAATAGGCCACGTGCAGCAATAACTTCTAGATCATCTCAAGTGATTCCTCGATCTGTGGTGAATGCTGACTCACCTCCTACACCACCTCCTAAATGGATCGGGAGGCCTGCAGTCGGGAGTTCTGTGATTTATCCTAGACAGCAACAGATTTCAGCAGGTACAGGACAGGAGAGACAGGCGAAGATGGTATATCAGGTGAAAAATAAGTCGACATGAAATCTAGTGGAGGATTCAGAGCTCGAGCAGTGATTGACGAGTGTGGGATTTGGTCTCTGACATCTGGTGGAATATTTTTGGAACTTTTTGAGCAAATGAGAAAGTGAAATGTTGATGAGTTCCAAATATTGGTTGTCTTACAGTGCTTGATTTGGGCTTTTTAAGATGGAAGGTGATTGTAATGTGTTTCAAGCGCGAAGCAGATGTGGTGCTCATTTTGCTAGACAGAATATTGTTTGGAGGTCAAGTTTGGATTAGAAAAGGACTACAAATAGATGAAATGATAGATAGAATTCTTTTGGTAATTTTTTTTTTTATTTGCCGGTTTCTGTTTCTGGGGTACAGGGGTCTGATGTATGCACTGTACACCTTGTTGACAACACCAACTAGTTTAGACAATGGAGATGACACTTACCTGTGAATGACCTTATTGACTTCAAGCCGTAAACTTCTATCCCGATGGGTTATACATTTCTGTCGATTATGTTTTTGTCCGTGTTTTGAGTCTTGAATACGACTTTATCTTTACAGGGTGAAACTTCATGAAATCCGAAGTTTCTATTTAGACAATGGATGAAATCCCCTATATCTGTTGCACATTTGCGAACACGGGTACTATGAGATACTTCGGTTGTAGCAAGTATTTGAATTGTGTCATTACATATTTTTAGGCAGAGCATATTAGGGGTCAAGATTGGCACGATACGAAAGACAAACACTGACATGAAATGATTATATAAACAAATGATATCGGCATGATTTCCTTTTCTGCTGTGTTATCGAGTTTGAACCAAGTTAGTTAAGACAGAACCAGGCTCTGTTCATACTTCCAACAGTACTAGCATGTTAAAAGGTCAGGTTTTCTGAAACTACATTATGAGAATTCTATTTCCATATCCATTGCAGCACCTATATCAAGAGTTTATGGCTTGCTACTGCACTTGCAACTGATAATTGAAATAGTCTATGGCAAACATTCCAAAAAGAAAAAGCATATCTCAAGAACCTGCTCTTTCAAGAACTTTGAAATAATATCTTACTCAGATCATAAAGTGGTAAATGCAAAATAAACTACGGCGAAACGGAGAAGAAAAACATGCACAATAAAGAAGTAAAATGGTGAAACTCCAAATGAAGAGAACAAGAAAAGAAGAGAAGCCAAAGACGTACGCCATCCGGTAACACAACAAGAGAGCCTTCTTAATAAGAATTATGATGAATGTGTACGATACCGAAAAAACACATGTCTACAAAAAAAATTCAACGCTTGCTGACAATTGAGCTGCGTGCGTATAACGAATAACCGCAGATGAATGATCATCTGATTGAAAATGTATGTGGCATAAAAATAGTTAATTAAGAAAGGATTCATGCATGCCATTACCAGAAACAGAAAAAGNAGCAAAAAAAAAAAAAAAAAAGAAAAAGGAATGGCAAGGTGATAATCAGTTAAGCTTGCTGTTATTATTGTTTGCTTGAGAGTTCCTCTGATTAAGCCTAGCAGCAGCTGCAATAGAGGCAGCAACCCCTCCTGGTCGGGTGCAAAGGTCCGGATCATTCCTTAGCTCTGCTCCGATCACACCTTCCGCATCTTTACGAGTCACCGGCTTATCCGATGGAAGCTTCGCACTCGCATCCTGAGATATATATATAATATATCCCAAAACCAAAACCAAAAAAAAAAAAATCAATCATGAAGAACTTCATATTATTGCCTTTAACAACTTAAAGATAGAAAATAGTCACTTTTTTGTGGAAATACGAAATAATAACCGTTTTCCGATGTGAAACGACACGATTACCCTTACTGTCAGAAACCGTTTCTGAAAAATCCAGTCTCTGGCAGTAAGGGTAATTGTGTCATTTCGCAGGGCAGGCAAAATGAGCATTTGTTACTTAGACTATAAAACCCAAGTGACAATAATAACGACAATAACCGAATACCGAAAGAATGTCCCCTAGCTTGGTCTTGTCCTCGTCCCTCGGGAGACGAGCATTACGGGTGGCGGCCGATTGGGCGGCAGCGGCAACTCCGCCAGGGACGATATTGGTACGTCCGGTTGCCCGGACCTCTGCCGCTTGTATAGCGGCGGCATCACTGTAGTCGACCGGAAGGTGGCCGGAAGTCAGAGCCGTAGCCTCCAATGCTTCGCCAATCGTAATCTCACCTTTCTGCTGCCCGGCCATTGGTTGCTGGGGGAACCCACCGCAGCTCGAATCACTTTGCTGCTGTTGCTGTTTCTGTTGCTGATTCTTCACCACCTTCACTAGTTCATGATACTGTTATTACCACTACTTGATTCACATCATTTGCAGATAATTTATAAGGGAAAATCTGCAAAATGTGCCACCTTTTTTTTTTTTCTCTCTTTGTGTTTCTCAAAATTCGACATATGCGAGAATCGGGACAACAAGAAAACGATTCGTTGTTGCTGACGAGTGACATTTTTTGTGAAGAATAATGTNAAGCTCGTTTTATTCGCCCTAAAGGTAGAAAAACGAAAACTAAAATATGAACATTACACCAACCATATCAAGACTCTTGAAAACAATGTAAATAATCACTTTCAGAAGACTTCATTCGAAAAATATTAATTTAAACGGTTTCCACACCAAATAATTAATTTATACGGACCAAAAAATGTTCGTTCGACAAATGGATTGAACAAGTTACCTGAACACCGATGGACTCCATCTGGCTAGAAGCAACATCTCGTGGGCTTGTATGGCCCACGATGCCAGCTGTCTCGTTCGAAGCACTTTTTGTCATCTGATCATGAGCAACATCATCACCATCCAATTTGCAGTCTTTAAGGTTCTTGATCAGCTGTTCTTGGCTCATTATTCTTTCTACTTATGGGGACTCAATACTAGCTTTTCTTTCTCTGTGGTTAAGAGCAGGGGATTGGAAAACATTTGCGAAGATTATACATGCATGCACGTATTATATTAATAAGTAAAGAGATATATTAAGCTATGTAGTGTGGATGGTGGAAATTGAAGGAGGAGCAAGTGCCCAAAAATTCTCTTGGACATTAGTTATAACTCTGAGACTTAGTCTTTTGGATGAGTGAATTATGGATCTTTAGGCCTCTGGCTCAAGGCTTGGATAAATTGCTAACATACTAATTATAGCCTTTTGTTTTGTGATTCATCAAAATACATTTGTAGCCCTCAATAGCATCTTTAAATTCAATAAACCAGAAAAAAAAATGTCACATGTCAAATTAATGTATTGTGATATGAAAGTTATGCATTTCTTGATGTGCATTTGGAAAATGAGATGTGACATGGAACTCACTTAACTAGCCAAATGAAAGTATAAGAAAACTAGGATTTTAAACCAAGTTTTTTGTGATCAAACTCTATCCCCTATCCATGAACAAATAATAATGCCCGCTCTTCCCTATATTATAAAAGTTTTACTGTCATCTTTCGAATAATATTATGGAAGATGATGTTCTAGAACAACATTTAGAGAAGGTTTATTTGCAAAACAAATCACAACCTTTACTTCATTGTAATTTAAGTAATTCCTTTTGTATTAAAAAAAAATGGTAATTTGAGGCACGACTTTTCATTTATTACAACGTAAGGCACGAACCAAGAAATTGAGAGCAACGACTTTGGTGAAATGAGATTCTCCTTTTCATATTACAATCACTAACAGGGCAACCTCACCACGAAAATTAAACCTCAAAATTTCTAGCTATAGATTAGTTGCACGCTATAAAACAAGGCTATTTCTACTACAGCAAATTTAACCAAGTGACACAGGTCAACAATAGCAAGTTCAGTACATTAAAAAGACAAATTTTTCTGTTAGTTCTGCAATGGCTGGAGTTCTTGCTCGGCTACAGCAGAATCATCGATGGTTTCGTATGCCAGCATTGATCTCTTCCTCCTCCAAATGACCCATGCCCCAGACGCCAATAATCCAGCAACTATCACAACAACAAATGCCCCAACTATGGCCAAGTAATGTCGTTGCAACCAAGTCCTGCAAATTATGGAAAAAAATAAAAATAAAAATAAAAAATCCAAATATTACAAGGTAGATCTCTTGGCTTAGCCTAGTCATTGGGAAAAAGGAAATTCAAAATCTCCAGAAGCTCCTCGACATTTTTTCGCCTTTTACGTGATATACCCTCAACAGGGGGTATTTGATGGGTACATTCGAGCCTTAAAGGGATCATGGTAACACTTTAATAGGCTTCTTGCAGTTTTGATAATAGTGTATTAATAAGCTGAACCAAAATCTGAAGAATGCATTTCGTCAGTAACCATTAGAAAAATACCAGTGATCACGCATAAATGCGTCATTTATCACATGGTGTTTATGTATTTTGATTTATTGTTAATAAACTTCAAAAACTAAAAAGTGATCACAACAGCAAGTTGCCCGTATAAAAACCAGATGTGAGAAGTAGCAACAAGGAGAAATGCAAAAAATTGTGTGGTTTCGTTATAATATCACACAAAAAAGAAGACTACACTCTTAAGCTTCATTGGTAAGACGGATGATGATCTTTCACTTAGCAAGATTTAGCCCATAAACTGAATTCATGTGTATGAGCAATAAAGAAACATCTTGTCTGACTAAGAGACAAACACTCTACTTAGTGTTATACCAAAATGCCAACTCTAGCAAACCACATAACCTTCTCATCGGCACAAACAGGTCCATATTAGTCTTCTATTCTAAGATAATGCAACAAATGGCTTAAGTAGATGAATACAAATTGATATATCCAATTGTCAGATGACACACTTCTGTAACTTCTCACTAGAATATGAATAAACTACCTTCTTATAGCACAGGTGAGACTACACTCTTTATTTCCGATATGACTAGTAAAGTATGTTATGCCCTTTACACCTATAGGACACTAGCTTCAAAATACGGAGACAAAGCGAAGTATTTTGTCTGCTTTTTTTTTTTCGAGACTTATAAAATATTCAAATTGGTACGCCCAGTATACATGTCCTGCAGCAAGCACAAGAACAATACTAGTTTCCAAAACTTCTTCAAATTTCAACAATTTATAACGTGAAGCTGCTCCTTTGTTCCAATAGTGTGATTATTTTGTCCTTATGCTACAACATAAATCCCACTGTGAGCCTAATTTTCCAGGTAAGATTTGGTTTTGATCCTTATGCTACAACATAAATCCCATTGTGAGCCTAATTTTCCAGGTAAGATTTGGTTTTGAGGCATTTAGCGGAACATAAAATGCAACCATATTTTCTACCTTTCTGGTGGTGGTTCAATTTTCCATTCAAACAGTTTGTAACTTCCAAAGGTATCAGGAAGATGTATATTATTTCCATTCAACCTGGATATGATATCCTGCAATAAAAAGAAAATTAAAAGCCTAAGCCCTTGGAACAAAATTATTTAAAAATGGCCGGTAGCTCTAG